TTATTGTGATTTACTTTGAAGTGTCTATCGGTAAGATAAGAACTGATGATAAGAAAATATGTAGGGGGAAGGAATTTACGGAGTTTATAAAGCAATCCCGGATGGCATACTCGATCAAACGCCTGTTCAACATCGAGAAAAACTCCAGTGCAATACATTCCGCGCTCCAATGCATAGGAGACAACGTCTTCCACACGATGACATTGCTGGATAGTGGAATGGGATGTGCGTAATCCAAATTGGGGGGGGGGATTATGTGGTCAGAATCTAGGATGGGATACAGGGGTTTTAACATGAGCTTCTCCAGGATTTTGCCCATGATGGGTAAAAGAGAGATAGGACGGTGAGAGGATGGGTATTCTGGTGGCTTTTTGGGTTTATGTATCATTTTGACTAAAGATAGTTTCTAAGGGTCAGGAAAATATGTGGAACGGAGTACGGCATTATAAATGTAAGTAAGGAATAGAATGGCTTTTCGAGGAAGTAGTTTAAGAATATGGGAAGTGATTAGGTCGTGGCCAGGAGCTTTGCGGGATGGTAATCTCGATTAAAAATAAAATTACAAGAGAGAAAAAAAACACAAAATAATAATGTAAATAAGCATATGTTATAAATGTCTGAAGTACGAAATTCTCGTGAAAGGGTAGATTTCTAAAGTAAACAGAACAGCAGCAATCCATCAAGGCTGGAATTTTTTGTAGAATAAACAGGATGAATCAGTTAAAATCGGTCGATTCCCGATTACATAGGTTTTGTTCTAGAACATCTTTCAGTATTGTTTCATTTTTGTGGGGTTGTGTTTTTCTTTCATGAACGTTCTGCACTTAAGACAAATGTCCTAATCCACGCTTATTTACATTACTATATTTTTTTCCTCTCTGTTTGTTGTATTTATATATATGTACAGTTTTCTCTCTTAAACTTCATTTTTAATTGCCTATTATTATGTCAATATTTAATTTAATGTATGACCATACTGTCATGTTTTAATTATTTTGTATCTATAATTTGTTATATTTGGTATTGGTAATTAGTTGTGTAGATTTAAACCAGGAATTTTAATTCTATCAGTTAATAAATATATATATATATATATATATATATATATATATATATATATATATATATATATATTTGTCTGATGAGGTTTAAGAATGTTTTTTACTGTTTTTTGTTTTCAGTAGTGTTCTTTTTTAATTTAAAGTAACAAGAAACAATCGAAGAATCGATTCAGTTAAAAGAATCTAATTTCCCATCTCTAGTTTTTTTCCACCTTAAAGAAATTATTTAAAATATAAACGACTTGGGATTTTAATCATTTTTCACTGACTTTAATAATTATAGAACAAACTCGAAATTAAATTTGTTATAAAGGTTTTTCTATTTTATCTTTCGGAAACATTCTATTTTCGCTCAGGTGACATTTGAGGTCCCTGTGTACGTCATTTGATGGTGCATAGTTACTAGTCACGTAGACAGATAGAACTTGAAGCGTTTATTTATAATCTATTATTAATTGATTTTATTTTTCCGACTATCACGCTTTGTTGATTATATGTTTTTCTGACACGTTGCTGATAATTGACAGAAGTCTGCTATTTAAATTGACTTAATTGGTCAGACGTGCAGTTTGATGTGATGTAATGATTGACCGTTGATAAATGTCTTATTTTATTTTTTAAGGTGGTAGATCTCAGCTAGTTTGATTTATGACTTCTGACCCTCAAGCCCTTCAACTGACATTGTCCCTCCAAGTCGATGTTTACAAAAATTTTAATTTCTATTGTATAGTATCTATAATTAAAACTATACTATATTCAATATGATATATTTGCATACATACTATTAGTAACTGTGAGTAATGTCTATAGACAATCGGTTTTTCTTTGAAGTTGTTTGTAGACGTATATAATTTTAAAAATTGAACACATTTTTGCTATATATATGTGTGTGTGTGTATATCTTGGTTTCATACACCAATACATCAACAAGCCGATCGGTTTAGGATATTTCAGCTGTATTTTCCTGTATACAAATGACGTTGAGTAACCCTTTCAGAACTTTCACATTTTCTCCGAGATGCGCTCAGCTACAAGTGGCTTCTCGTGTCGCTACCCATTTAAGCACGATAGTCCTTTCTCTTGAAGGCGATGATAATTCACAAGGAACTGTAATATATTCTATAAAATGCCCGTTTGTTAACTGAGATTTTTCTCTTTTTAGGTGAATAGAAAATGAAATAATGAAGAATAAGCAGTGATTATAAGAAACACAATCATTGAAATCATTTGAATCGTCCAGACCCGATGAAAAAAAAAGTCTATCTCAAGCCTAAATGCAAGATATTTCAATGAGGAAGTCCGGGGAAAAAAAAAAAAAATGAACCGAACTAATTCAGTAAATGAATTTATAATGTGTATAATCAAAAACCTCTTGTATTAATTAATAATAATAAAATTAAAAAATTAAATATTAAAAAATGTAATAAGTTTTAAAAAAAATCAAACACTTAAAAACAGCAACAAAAAAAAAAATGTGAAAAATAAAGAAAGAAAAAATGGGCTGTACAGTTAATAGAATAATATGTATAGGTATCTTTTTTCGTACCCACATACGTTTAGGAACAAAGGCTTTCATTCGTTTAAACGTGAACTAAAAAAACTTTTTAGGGCGGCTCCCTAATGCAAAGGACGAAATCTATGAGCCACAAAACAAAATTGGTTCAAAACAGCGCCAAATAATCGCTGGCTTAGATGGACAGACATAAAACATAGGCAATTTTTTTTTTTTGTTTCAGGAACTTGTTCATCGAAATGAAAAATTTTATTTTTATTTTTTGTTATCTCTAATGCTTAAAGTGTAAATTAAGAAGTAAATTTGCTGAAAGATATTGGTCTCGGGTATTACCCACTGTTCTGGCATCACTGGTTGAAAATTGAAAATAGTATCAAAAGAGCTCCACAACATTTATTTGTGATGCCAGCTATCAGTGCACACGTGTAGGTAGTTTTGACTTAAATGAGACGGTAAAAGGTCACAGAAATTATCCATTACCTGTGTTACTGTTGCCCTTATGTTTATCAAAAATGGGTTTGTAAATAACCTACAGAAAGTTAATTTTAAATGATTAGTTTTTGGCGGGAATAGCGCATAGCCTTCCGCTTTTATATCGGGGATTAAGGTTATTTATACTCGTGAATTATTAAAACTAAACTCCGGCACCTGATATAGACTTTTTTTGAGGGTGTTTAACTGTTTGGATAAGGAATTCGGGAATCTGATATCTTTTGTGACACTGAGTGAGAAGAAGCAATAAGAATACATATATGAAATGTGGATACTTAGTAAACACTTTGAATGAATTGACTCACCTGGTTTATTCTTCAATTGTGAGACATATAGGACAACTAAATAAAATGACTATTCACTCCTGTCTAACAAAACAAATTTATTTTAACAACTGATAATAAATGAATATATATAAGTGAACGGTCGGCTTGATATTCTTGGTCTTCAATGTAGTAAGCCTCTCTTCCCAGATGACGTCTTCCTGTCCAGGCCCAAAGTGTTTGGCGTCGTCCTCGCCATCTGTTGATACCTGATCGGACTTTTTTTCTTCTTTTCGATTGTTTATCGATATGAGATTTTCCAATGAGCAATTTGTCCACTGCACAATTGAGTACAATTCACACTGCAATCTTACATTCCTATATACTATATATTCCTCACCCAATGTCATATAAAGGAGTAAATACCGGGGGAAGTCTACTACAGGTTGATCAATAATTCGATTGATTACTGTGAAGCTAGTAATAAATAATCATATGTTTAGTATTATTCTCCCACATCTGTCCATAGTTTTGTGTAATATACGTCTACTATTTATTGCTAGGTCTTGTTTTTGGAAAAGTGGGCTGCAGACTTGCAGATTTTTATTGTTCTATTTTTGAATTCTAACTATCTTTAAAAGTAAAACTTTGAATTAAAAGGTGGTGTTATTTTTTTTTTTTGTTTTTTTAGCCTATTGAAGTAGTTCATCATTAAAGATATTTGATATTGAAAATACTGACAATCCATGTTCGTTCGTTATCAAGAATATCTGCGACAATTTTCCACGTCAGATGTCCTTTTATTTTATTTTTTCGAGTTATTTATTTTATAGGCAAATAAAACTTATAAGAATTCCGTATCTAATTGAGTTTTGAATTATTTCATAAAATTACATTTATCGATTGAAATGGCTCACATTGTTTGTATATATTTTTTTCCTTTAAAATCGTCTGGCCGCATTTTATCAGTTATGGTAGAATATACATTTTAAGGTATATGGGGTCGGTGTAAGTTATGTCAGGAAATTTTTTGGTCTTCCCTGGCCAGAGGGTGAGGGCGGGGGATTAATTTCAGAGTTTAAACACCTCCGGGGCAAGAATTCGTAATTATTTTATTGTCTCTACTTCGGTTATCAGGTTGACGGGCAACGATCGGGTGCTGTACACACGCGTTAGCCCGCTCGGCCACCCTGCTCTTGCTTAATCATGAATCTCGACGATGCGGGTCTACAGAATGTCATTAGCTCGCCTATTCTGTCGTGGGTCTGCTTCAGGAAAATTAAATGAATGTTCTCTTGTCCCTGCTGATTCTGAGAACTATATTCCATGGATCTAGAGCGATTTTTCACTGTCCTTGAACTAGAGACCATCCGTAGTATCACGAGCTTGGGTGGGAATCCCAAGCTAAGTTCCTGCAAGCATTATACAATCGTAAGAAGACTACATTGCACGTACAGTGAACTACATGGTCTATAGCATTTACCTGGGGGAGGGGGGGGGGCTAAATTATTCTAAAAACTAATTTCAAATATTAAATAGTTTTACGTTGTATACAATTTATATCATGAATTTTGGATATGATGACTATTTTATAAAAATAATTAAAACCTATTATAATTTTCGAAGTTTATATATTCATTTATAAATAAACATTCTCAGTGTATGGATAAATTATGAATGATTGTGGTCTTCAAATCCAGATGACTGACCTAGGTTTTTCTTTCTATTGGCTAAATACAAAAATATTGATGTGCAAAGTAATTGTAATATTTTGATGTAAACTGTAAAATATAAAAATCATTTGGTTTAAAGACATTAGTATGCATTAATTTTATTAAGGTATTACTATTCACGTTCAAAGTAATTTAACATATGGTTGTGTTGGTATGATTCACGTATATTGTAAGAATCCTAAAGACATCAATACTTCAATTTATACAAACCTTCAAAAGTTTTCCTGAACAGGTACATCTACATCAATTGTAACAAATGTTCATGTTTATTGCCTGTGTGAGAATTGCGTCATTAATCCATTTTGCTAAAGATCGCTATTAACCGGTAGCTTGTTGGTCGACTATTTCTTGTATTGCTCCACTACTCTAATTATATTCACTCGGTTTTTTAATTTTATTCATTGTTTGATTGGAAAGGTTGTCAACGGGTGTTGCAATTGCATTCCTTCAGTTATTCCCGAAAAATATGGATAGTAAATATTTACCGTGATGTAAAAAATTATTTTTATTATTGAACACATGTTTTAAAGCGTAATTCCTTAGAGAGAAAAAAATATGGCTTTTTTATTAAAATATCAAATGTCCGAGTCATTGAGCCAAGCACGAGTTAATTTTTTATGAATTCAGGTTTAAAATAGGTAATAGGAGCTTTTAAAGATAAATATATTGATAGGATAAGTTAGTTACTAACTAGTTTTGGTGTGAATAATCATTTTATGAAATAATGAATTGTGTGGACACAGAATTATGGGAGGAAGTTATTTGACTGCTCTGCATATCATGGGTGAAGATCAGTCAGAACGCTGTCATTTTTAAGGTTTTTAGTGGTGTCGAGGTGTAAACCCAAGCATGTGGGTCATCATCAGGGCGTGTTTCGAGCACTTTAAATACTCACGTATTTGTACACAGTATTTGAACACATTCAGTGCTCGAACGCCCTACTGATGATCCACATGCTTGGGTTGAAACGTCAGTACCAATGAAAACCTTAATAATGACTGCGTCCTGGCTATTTATCGCCTATATTTTTTAAGTGGCAAACAGTAGAAAATTTACAAGAGGGTATGGCTTTATTCTATTCTTTAAATACTTTCAAATAAGAATGTTTTTGGTGGTTGGCTTCCGCACCATTGATATTAGGTATAAGGCCATTAATTATGCATATCCAATGAAAATACGTTTAAAGAATTGAATAACCCTCTAGTTCCCAGAGTATCGTACTTAAATCTTTTTTATTTTTCACAATCAGTAATTAGGAGAAAAAGAAAATTTACGAACTCTACTTAGCCAATGAAATTAAATACCGGTTCTTTTTTTTAACGCTTTGTCATGCTGAAACTAGAGTCAAATGGAGTGAATACCGCTACTGCCTTCTTTTGACAGTGACATGTAAGCAATCAACAAATATATTTTTAAAAGTTTTCTTCTCATCTGTTACCATAACCCATTTAAATCTTTTCATTAGGGTGATCCCGAGAATGCAAATTTGGAATTGGCTTGGATGTAGGTTTACTGATAAATACAGATAGCAACATTAAAATTGAAAAAATTCTTGCGGCCTCTAATGATAAGGTTCCCATCTATGGTTTATGCTAATATATTAACGAGTTTGTGTTAAGATATGAGTAAAAGTATATACAGGATTTCAGTTCTTAATGGTCAAACTCTGGCGGAGGGAAAATTTCCAACAAAAAAGTTCATTTGATGCATGGGGTCCAAACAGAATAGGAGAGTCTTATCTTAAGACCAATTTTGTTTTCTTAAGGTAGTAGCGTTTTTTATTAAATAAGAAGAAATTGCTCAAATACTGTTTAAGATAATTCAATTCTAAGTTCACTATCGTAAATTAGACTTTTTTTTTATTATAGAAAAATGATTTAATTTAGTAAGATCAGTGATAAAAGGCATTTTCAGGAGGTCGTCTAATACGCCCGATATACTGCTACAGTTCGGTACCCATACATGAACTGCATATCTCTGTATAGCGGCCGTACGAGACCTCCTGAAAGTATCTTTTATTATTGACTTTGGAAAATTTAAATAGTTTCCTCAACAAAAAAAGTTTACAAAAATTTGATTATCTTAAACAGTGTTTAGGTAATTCCTTCTTATTCAATATAGAATCACCTTTAAAAAAAAAATACACAAAATTGGCCTTAACATCTTTTCCTTTCGCAATCGGTCCATGCATCAAATGTACCTCCTCCCCCAGAGTTCGGTCATTAAAAACTGAAACACCATGTATATTATCGATTGATTTGCAAAAATGAATTAAGCAAACTTTTGTTAGAACTAAACTTATTTTTGAATTAACACGATAATAAATCCAAAACTTCGAGTTCTTTTATATATCAAATAGTGTTGCCCAAATGCGAGACCGAGACGTGTCTTGGTCTTGTGCAAGAGTCTCGCAACGGTCTTACCCATTAGTTTAGTACTATAGAGATATTCCTGTATTTTTTTAAATAGGGGAAACCTAACTAAGCCCGAATGAAAAATTAGAAGAGTTAAATGCAAAAGTATATTGGTTATACAAATTCTTTACATATAGTATCTAAAATTGTCAAGCATTAGTAACTATTTTGCCTTAATTTTTATTAAAAAAATCGGGTTTTATTTATCAGTCTTGGTCTTGCAAAGTGCAAGACCAAGACCGATTTTGTGCAACACTAATATCAAACATTGTTGACAACAATTTTCTGATTTTACAAAGGAAAAATTTATAAAAATTCTTAGTGATTTAAATTTGTGTATTGTCATTTGATGACTTATGGGAATGAATTAACGGTATAGCATATTTAATATATTTGTATTTAAACATTATCACACACACACTCCTGTGTAGGTTGAGAAATGGTTACGCAAGCTGGCTGAGGCAGATGTCTTACTCGAGAGCTAAGGGCTGTCGCCGACCCACTTGTAACACCCTCCCTTCCCCCTCCTTTTATTTACTTAACACTGGACCCTCCTTCCCCTTGTATTTCATCCCATTATTACAAAATCTCTTCCTTTTCTGCCTTCCGATTTGTAACTAGGATTCATAACAACCCAATGACAACAAATACTAATAATAGTTTCTAATTCAAGGGCTGCTACTCGATAAATATTTGTATTTATCCAGATATCTGTTTTTGTCTTTTGATAGAGGAAAATTAAACAATTACATCAATAATGCCTGCCATGATAGGTTGTTTGAAAAGTATTCTATTATTATTCCTTATTAATCTTTGACACAATTTATGGTGAAGGATTTATTCAAAAACCAGCTTTGTAAATTTTTATTTTCATGAAATAACACACACAAGGTTAGCCGGACTGATTGAGACCTTGAGGCCTCAAAAGCGTTCAATGACCGCCTGTTTTTTTGTTTTGTTTTTTATCTTAAAAATTTTCAATTTTACTTTATTTAGATTATTTTATCATGTTTTTAAACTGTTCTTGAGAAAAATAGTTCACAACGAACATTCATCACGTTTTGATTTATTGGTATATTGAATATACCATTTTTTTTAATAATCTTTGTTTCATGTTTATAAATTTAGCTTCAATTTAAAATTCATTAAAATCTACTTCGAATCGATTCGTCACGAAATTCTTCCCTTGTTGGAAACATGAACGTGATAGTCGGCAGGCACGCCGATAATTTAGTTCCCAGTCACGTGGGCACTTATTGAGAAATATGTTACATCAAGCTTAATTTGCTATTGTGTTTCGTTAAGCTAGAGGTCGTTCGTAATTTATTACCATTTTTTCAAAATATATTAATTGCTTTATATTTTATAAATGTTCCTACATTTAAAAAAATAATATTAAATTGGTTTCATCCCTTTTTTGTTATAGTTGGGCATTGTGATTTTGTAAAATATACCAGCCAATTTTTCTCTTAAATATGTTATTTTTAAAAGAATAATGTTCCTTCACATTTAAATTGTTCTTGTAGTAATAGATTTTTTTTTCTATACGTTTTTTTTTTTTTATAGCTCTGATTTTTATTATATCAGGAAGTTAAAATATTAAGTTCTGAAAATAGCACAATGAATGCTGTTTCTGGCTATCCTAACTGGCTCTCTGGTTATTAATTTTAAGACTCGTTTCTGTGGAAATATAAAAAATACAAATTTTTTAACTAACGTAAATATTTCAGATATAATTAACAACTTTTAATAATAACAATACTATTGTTAGTTTATTTGCTTTTGAAGAAAAAAAAAACCTGTACCACTACAATCCATGAAGGGTCTTGGGTTCAGTACTATTTAGGGATAGTAGTGTTTCTTGGTCTACGGTAGTGCAAGCAGGTGATTTAACCGAGATCACGCTCAACCGCCAGGTTTTCCCCTTAATTAATTATTTTGATTAAGGGTACCCACTTTATAGAGGCTGAGTATGCCCCAGAAGGGGCTACCTACCCAGGGTCGCCTCACGGCTAATGAAACAGAATATATAATTTTTCTGCCATGTGCCGGGATTCGAACCTGGGACCTTAAGCATTGGAAGCTCAGTACCCTACCACTGAGCTACCCCCACTCTGCTTTTGTAGAATTACCCATACAAAAAGTTTTAGCTAAATTAATTAATGTTTCTTAGACCAATATCCAACAAAAAACGTACAATACCTTAAGGTAATTATCATATCATAATAAACGAATTGTAATTGGCAATAAATAATTTTGTTAACAATTATAATTGCAATATTATTATGCATTCATCTTCGTTATACATTGATAATCAACTATCTTATATGTATAATGAAAGATTTAAGCTTCTTTTATCTTCTTTAAATAATTCTGTGGAACATATTTCTTCCTGCTTCTCTATATGGTATACCATTAGGAATGGAATAAACCTATGAAACGTAGTATTAAAGGATGAGTTAGGACAAAAACATAGTCTTATATATATTCACATAATCGTACCAACGCATTTAAATGAACTGACAAAAAAAAGGTGTTTATAGTAGTAAATCAAATACATCGTGGTCACACAAAAGTATCTTATATACTTTTTTAATTTAATTCAATATAGCTTACTGGCACTACCTACGAGACCTATTAAAATTATACAAATCATTTGGTTTACCAATAATTAATCAGCTTGGTGGTTTGAATCTATTTTAGTATGTGTCAGTGGAATGATTTGATAATTTCTAGTGCATCACATCTTTTTTAGAAATGTTTACTTTTTTTCTAAATACCACACCTTCTAGCTCTTTCTTAATTCAGGAATTTTCCATTAGGA